GATACCCACCCCCACCCCCGCAACCTCTCCCCCCATGCATGCTGGCCCCGCCCGCGGGGCTCGCTGAGACAGCGAATGAGACTGGGCATGGTGGCATGCGCCTGTAATCCCAGTGCTTGGGAGGCTAAAAACAGGAGGATCACTAGGAGCTCGACCTGTGTAGTGAGATCCTGTAGACCCTGTACTAGATACATTTTATTTTATTTATTTTTTTAAAAAGAATTTTTATTTATTTATGTGGGGGGGCAGCTCAGCCCACCAGGGGGCGGGGCTGGCTGGCATGTGGTGCTGGGGGATTGAACCGCGGTCCCTGTGCTTTGCTAAGCTTAGCTTGTTCTAAGTAGGTGCTTTAGACCACTGAGCCATCTTACCAGCCCAAGTAGATATATTTTAAAAAATTATGTGTTTGGTACAGGGTCTCACTATGCAGACACGGCATGCAGCACTAGGGATTGAACCTGTGTCCTCGTGCTTGCCTAGGCAGGCGCTTCGAATGCTGAGCTATCTCCATGGCTGGAGTGAAACTAATATATATATATATATATATATATATATATATATATTTTTTTTTTTTTCCTCCCTCCCTAGTTACATTGTAAACTCCAAAACAATACCCCTGCCCAAGCTTATTGTCTGTTTTCTTGGCACCTGGTTACCATTTGTACTGCTTCAGGTATTCATTCTTTTACTTAAAGTACAGATTCCTGCATATGTACAGATTCCTGACATGAACATTCCCTGGTTGTACTTTGTCAATAGTTTTTTTCATTGCAACCATTTATTGGTTTAATTGTCATGAGCTTTATTTAAGAGATATCTCATTACCCCACAGATCCATTTGTCAACTGGAAATGCTGCTTCATTCCACTTATAATGCATAATCTTGAGCCTATATCAGGAGTTGGGGTGATGGCTGGGCAGTCTAAGCGTCTGCCTGGCAAGCGCAAGGAGCCAGGTTCAATCTCTGGTACCGCATGCCATGCCAGCCCCAGAACTAAGGGCACACTGTGCTGTTCGGGTCACAGAAACTGGGCGTGGTGGCACATACCTGTGATCCCAGCACAGGGGAGGCTGAGACAGCGGGATCATTGTGAGTCCAAGCTGTGTAGCGAGACCCTGTATCAAATAAATAAATAAATAAGACTAAAATAAAAGACAAAAGCTTGTATCAATAATAATTTGTTAATATGTTGTCATCTTAAAACCAAACCAATTACAATAAAAATAATAATCTTTTTTTTTTTTTTTTTTTTTTTGTGGAACCGGGGATTGAACTCAGGCCCTTGCACTTGCCAGGGAAGCACTTATGCCACTGAGCCATCTCCCTGGTCCAAAAATCATAATCTTATAAACAAGAAAGAATGGGACTCAGGACATACCAA